GGAGAGAAGACAGAGAGGAGAGGAGAGAAGAGAGAAGACAGAGGAGAAGAAAGAGGAAAGAAGAGAGAGGAGAGAGGAGAGGAGAGAGAAGAGAATAGAGAAGAGAGAGGAGAGGAGAGAAGAGAGAGGAGAGAAGAGAGAAGAGAGAGGAGAGAGGTGAGGAGAGAGGTGAGAAGAGAGGTGAGAAGAGAGGTGAGAAGAGAGAGGAGAGGAGAGAGAAGCGAGGACAGGAGAGGAAAGAGGAGAGGGGATGACCCCGGACCTATGTATCCTGATTGGTTTCGAGCGTGGGGTGTTATTATCCTTGCGGTGTACATGTTAGTGTCTGCATTCGGGTTCGTGGATCCTATCAGGTTTTTTTGAAAAACCCATTTGGCATCATTCTTGGGATGCCCACAGAAGGGCTAAACAGCTGGCAAATGAGGCCTGGTTTAGGTATTAGGCTTCGGGTTCAGGGTTTTGGGCTAAGCCCTCAACCCTGAACTCCAGGTCTCTATTGACAAGAGGCACCTTGGCTGCCAGCAAGGTGGCTGTGACGACGAGCACCTCACAGCAGCGCCCCGAGCAATTCGAGCAATTCGCGAAGTTCCCTTTAGGGTTTAGGGTTTAGGGCGGAATACCCTGCCCCACAAAGACTTTGCTTCTTTGAATGGGGCTCCCAATTAAGGGCCTGACTCTGAACCCTAAACCTTAAACCCAAAGCTCTGTTGGAAAGCAACATTTGGGGCTTTGGCTCCATGGCTTTTGGCTTCAGTTGGGAATTTAGGTCTGGAATTTGGTTCCACCCTTCCATGCCAGGTAGGAAAATGCGAGACACTAGTGTTATAGATGATCATTAGCAAGGACAACCAGCAGAGAGACTGTAGGATATTACCGTCATAACTTGAGTCTTTCCCTTCCCAGCTTGAGTGACGTTGGGAAAGCCCAATCCCCTGACACGTGCTTGTTTCTTAGAACGACAGGGGCACCAAAAATCCTGCATGGCCCTGAGAGCCTGTTGCCTTTGGATTGTGGTGCTTTCGTATACTGAAGTCATTGTAGTATCAACAGTATGTGCCCCGTCTATGAAGCCCCTACACGTCCCCTAAACACTAAATAGTAGTTGGCATTTTCTTTTCCATTATCCCTATAAGTCCCCTTATAATCTCCTCACAGTGTCCTTCTGAAACCCTATGGCCAGGCCAAGCGCCGCCAGGCTCATCCACATTTTCGCGGAGTCGTAGGATGAAGGGCTCAGCGAATTCCTTGGGTCTAGGGACTAGGGCCTCTACACTCCCGGAAACTAACATGGAAATCCAAAAAGGCCCTATAAAGACTACAGTCCTACTAAGAGGGGACTATATGGGTTTCCATGTTAGTTTGGGGGAGCGTAATTTCTTACGGAATCACCATTAAAAAAATTTGAGGGTCCCCAAGGATTCTGTCAACCCTAAAAAATGAATCCTGAACCCTCATCTACACCCTACACACTATATACCCTTATAATCCCTTAAACCCTGCACCCTACACACTATATACCCTTGTAATCCCTTAAACCCTGCATCCTACACACTATATACCCTTATAATCCCTTAAACCCTGCACCCTACACACTATATACCCTTATAATCCCTTAAACCCTGCACCCTACACCCTATATACCCTTATAATCCCTTAAACCCTACACCCAGAACCCTAAACCCTACACCCTATGTCCCCTTATAATCCCTTAAACCCTAAACCCTGAACTCCCTAAACCCTAAACCCCTTTACAAGTTCCTGAACAGCAACCCAGGTTCAGCGTTACCAAGGTAGCAGGATCCGCAACGGAGATGCCCATGCCTCAGCATGCTTGAGACTCTTGGAGGTAGGGATTTAGGGTTTAGGGTTCAGGGATTTAGGGTTTAGGGTTTAGGGATTAGGGTTTAGGGTTTAGGGTATATATATATATGTTTGTGTCTAGGGACTTTAGGAGGGACCCTTAATGGGGACCGTCGTAGCCTGGGTTGCTGTTAAGGAACTTAAATTAAGTTACTATATTGGGGAAACCCTATTATTTACTATATGTACCCATTATGGTAACTTAATTTAAGTTCCTTAACAGCAACCCTGTAGCTTGTTAGGGGTAGTAAATGGGTACTGTCTGGTTGCATAGGAGGCATACCCTTGGAGGTTATTAAGTGGGTACTGCAACGGCCCAGTAACAGCCTATAATAGGGGACAATATTAAGGGCGATATATCACTTTGGTACAAGTCTCATCACGCTGTTGCTGGGTGGGGGCAGGACCCAACTTATTAACTACATACAGCTGGGCCCCTTCAAAGAAGTTATAGGGATATGCGAGCTGTACCCTAAACTCCTAGTATCCCCCTTAATAAGCCCTAGAATACTCCCCTATATCATCCACTATATAACCCCCCTTAAAGAGTTTATTTAGACTCTAGGATATGTAGGGATAGCAGTTATTTCAGCCCCTTCCTTACCAGATCTTTCTTCAGATTCTTGGATCCTTGGGATTTTTTACGAAGGTTTAGGGTTCAGGGCTTGAGGCTTAAGCCCACATTATATATATATATATTCCCAACATAGTACCATTATGTAATAAGGGGAGCGTTCATTCTTAGAGGGAGGGTTGATGATTAGGGATAGGACCGGATAGGCGATTAGTTCAATCCATGCTGCCCTCTGCACCCTAAACCCTAAACCCTAAAACCCTAAACCCTAAACCCTAAAACCCTAAACCCTAAAACCCTAAACCCCTAAAACCCTAAACTGAAGAGAATCCATGCTGCCCTCTGCCCCCTAAACCCTAAACCCTAAACCCTAAAACCCTAAACTGAAAAGAATCCATGCTGCCCTCCGCACCCTGGAAGGCGATGAAGGTAAGGAAGAGCCCTACTCCGGCACCAATGACCTCTTTGATGCCTCTGGGCTTTAGGGTTTAGGGTTTAGGGTTTAGGGGCAGGGATGTCAAACAAGGGTGTGGGAAAGCTGCGGGTTGTCAAAATTATGCTCCATTTTTCGGTGCCCTAAGCCATATATGTACCACCTCACGTGCAAAGAACTTGCGGAGTAGAGAGCGCAAGATTTCAGAGTTTCGAGAATGAAGGTTACGGGATTTCAAGCCTCGGCTTTCAAAAGGGCATAATTGTGCAATATCATCCTTTCCCCCGAAAAATTAACCCCCCCACCCCCGCAATATTAAATACTCCCATTGTGTGGTGTATGATAAGTGGGGGGTTAATATCAGGGGGAGAGGATTAGGAGTGGATAGCCAAAGCATGGAAACCGGTTTTTATGTAGGGGTGTACAGCTATTGTCCTGAACAACTATTCATATCAAGGCCTTTTTGACATGCCTTATACCAGGCTCATACAAGGTATCTAGGACAATACTATAGTCCCCCTCAAGTAGATAGTATATGGCTTTGGGTATATTATACCCCATATTCTATCTACTTAAGGGGGACTCGATGTTTAGCCCCCTACGCTATCCACCTTGACTGAGGAACCGCGGGGGACTTGAGTCAGGGGAGGGTTTGGGGCTTTGAGTTTTGGACTCCTTTTGACTCCATCTGAGCCTTAGCCTTTGAAGTTCTTGAAACAGTAATGGTGTAAGTCAGGTTTGGAAGAAGCACATGATAAGCCCTTCACGTGTTTGGGTCCGCTTGATTATAGGGATTCAAGCGAATGTGCGAGAGAATTCGCAGGAGCAGACTATGCCAGCGCTTGCAACATTAACGTGCGCCGCTTTTGTCATCCTTCACTCTACCCGCAGTCCCCAACAGGGTGTAGGGTTTCGAGTCTAGTCTGCGAAGCACGCAGCCTCAAACCCTCTATGTCTGCCATGAAGCGTTCGCCCTAAACCCTGAACTCTGAAGCCTGAACCCTTAAGCTCAGGTAAATACAAAGTGTATAGGGTAAAAGCAACAAGAAACACCCGCACGACATTCGGTCAAAACTCCCGACCTGAAGCCTTGGCCTTAGAATGTGTTAAACCTCGAACCCGAAACCTTACAGTGACCTCATAGCGTCCCAGGGCGCCTTCGGGGAAGAGCCGGATCAGTAGCGTTCGCATGCCCGTCACCTGATCAGCTTTACACCTTACTGTAGACCCCTGATTAATAAACCCCCTCCCTCCTTTTAAGGGCCTTAATATTGTTTAGGGTTTAGGGTTTAGGGTATTAGGATCCCTATCATAATCCTTATTAAGGGCAGGGGGGTTATTAATCAGGGGTCTACATTACCAGCTTTACTTGGGTCATTGATTGGGGGTTCCCTAACCCTAAGGGTCCAAAGTACCCAATGATTAAGTACTTGGGTTTTGGGTAATAGTAAGTATAGTATAGGTTTTGGGCGAGAATATGATTATTAGGTACTTGGACCCTTAGGGTAACATCTTCTTGGGAGTCCCTATCATAAGCATTCTAAATATATAGGGTCGATAGAAAGGTCCCTGCATAAAAGCTATTCTGTCAGCCATCCACATGGCGGATTACCCACGGTTTAGGGTTTAGAAATGGGGAAGCCCGTGGGAAGTACTACAGGGATCAGGTCTCGTGTTTAGGGTTTAGGCCATCCATGCCATATGCACCCCTTTCGCAGGTCTTTCAAGGCTATATAGGGTTCTAAAGAGGTGATGGAGCAGGAAACAGGAATTGCCACACAATTTGGGGTTCGGGGTCGCGGGTTTGGGGTTTGAGGTGCTTGGCTTGGGGTGTAAGGTTAGGAGGTTTGGAGTCTAGTCTCGGGAACCTGGTGAAGCACATCAGGCAAACCCTAAACACCTAGTTTAGGGTTCGGGGGCTAAAGGTTAGGGTTTAGGGTTGGGGGTCTAAACCCCAAGTCGGTCGTAGATGGACATTTCTCAAGAGCCTAGTCTAGGGTGCCCGTATGTGCTCCCATTAGTATAGTCCTTCATACTGAAACTTCGCAAAAAGGTACTTCCCAAAAGAGATCGAGACTTTCATTTAGGAAACCTCCCAAATGGCCGTTGGGTCGAAGGATGGGATTCTATAGGGGTAGGGTTTAGGGTTTAGGGTTTAGGGGTACACCCTAAACCCTAAACCCTCAATCCTACAGGTTTTGGGTTTTGGTGTTCAAGTTGCTGCTGAAAATTTAAGTTCCGACATCCCCAGACTGAAGAAAAGGGCTTGCCATTGAATTCGAACCATCCACTTAACAGACTATCGTCCCCCTTAAGTAAATAGAATATGGCGTATATGGGGATTCTGACATGATGTATTCAAAGCCATATTCCATCTACTTAAGGGGGACTATACTAGGAGAAAGCCACCGACTGGAACTTGAGCTCAAGCCCCGTGGAAACAGGTCTACTCGCGGCAGAAGCAGGTACTATCTGGGTATTGCCTCCACATAGTTACTGTCCATAATAGGGGTAAATGTATGGTAGTTTCCCAAGATAGGGGGACCCCAATATAGACCCCAATACACTATAGTCCTTATTATGGGAACCCCCAAAATGGTACTCCTAATTTTGGGAAATCTCCATATACACCGCACTTTATTGCGTGGGGTGGGCAGTGTTCCAAGGCATCATCCCGTCCCTCAACTGCATGAGGATGAAACAGGTTGAATTGAGGTACCCTTTTTAAAGGGGCTGATAGGGATTGTTCAGGGGCTATATAGGGATAATGGAAAAGAAAATGGAAGCGACTATTTTGGGTTTAGGGCTTTAGGGTTTCCCAAAACTAGGGGATTGATGATGAAACGGACACCTTGATTTGCAACAATTGCACTGATGCCATATGGTGGGCTGTCAAAATTATGGTCTTTTTTAGGCACACTACATAGTAGGAGCCGTATGAAACTGCTATTTGGTAACGGCCCAGTTCCCACTAAAGCTTGAGCAGAAAAATGTCTTCAGAAGACCACTTGCAGCCAGCAAGTCACACTGAGCACGGTGAAGAGGCAACCAGCCACGAAGACCGCTGCGAAAGCAGCTTGCCATGGAAGGCCCCGACCAAGGACAATACTGAAGGTGAAGTAGGCGTTGGTCCCCATGCCTGACTTGGTAATCCAAAATCTGTAATCCCCCTAAGCCTAGACCTATACTAGAAGCATACTTTCAACTATTCCTCGGAGACATGCTATGGTTAGCCTGAGAGGTACTTCCTAAGGAGACTTCAGAAACGGGCCTTGAAAGGTGGATGAGCATGTTCATGTTGCTGGTGGTGGTGATCTACAGCTTCCGGAATTAGTACTTTCCCTACATAGGGGGACCCCAATATAGACACCCAAATACTATAAGCCTTATTATGGGGATGCCCAAAAAGGAGTCCCTAGTTTTGGGAAACCCTAAAACCCTAAACCCTAAATAGTAGCTTCCGTTTTCTTTTCCATTATCCCTATATAGCCCCTAAACAATCCCTATCAGCCCCTTTGGGTACCCCAGTTCAACCTCTTGGCCTCGGGGGGATTCCTAGAGGAAGCCATGATGGATGTCTGCATGCCATCTTCAGAATCTCAAGTAGCACCCTGTGCCATCAGAAAATCGTACCACTCTAGCTCTACCATGCGGCTGCTGCTGCTCCCACTCTTACTACGGCGACTACTCCTACTGCCAGTATAGGGATCCATTCCCTCACTCCGTACTATCACCAGGTAGCCTAGTCCCTTTGAATTCATTCTGCGCAATCATTGGACTCCGATATGCCAATTGAGGGGAAGAGTCAAGGAGTAACATTAAGTCTAGATGCCCGGCGCCAGCATGAAGGGGAAGTTGGACAAAAGGCCCATGAGCCAACAGCCAAAAAATGCTGCTAGCGCTGTAGCGCACACGAGCTGCTCCTCCAGGTTGGATCAAGTCCGGAAAATCATGTACGCATGCTATCAAGCGCATCTGGAATATGGTAGTTTGCATGAACAGGAGGACCCCAATACAGTCCCCGAAAATGCTATAGTGCTTACTTACTATAGGGACCCCCAAAACGTGCCCTTGTAATTGGGAAACCGCAATTTGATCTTCATGTCATCTAGGATGTGGGCTTTAGATTTCAGAGTTTCTGGCTGGGCTAGTTGGATTCCAGGCCTGTGACGCACCCTAGACCCCAAAACAGCTTTGACCTAAAACCCTACTTGGAGGTTCATGGGACTCACGGACTACTTATCACTGACCTTATCATCCTACTTTTCATTTCATTAACTGGACTTATGATTATAGGTTACCCCAATTGTAAGCAGGGTTATACGTCCCGTTATAAGAAATTACGAAGTCCCATGAACCTCCTAGTAAACCCTAAGCCCTAAACCCTAAACCCCTAAATCCTAAACCCTAACCCCTAGACGCTAAAACCCCTAACCCGAAACCCCTTAACCCCAACCCCCATACCCCCAAACCCTAAACCCCTAAACCCCTCAAACCCTAAACCCCTGGACCCTAAACCTCTAAAGCCTAAACCCTGAGGCTCAGCGTCCTTCATGTCAGGAACGGCCAGGCTGAGCATGCTGCCTCACCACTCAACTGGGTTGCTGTTAAGGACTTAAACCAAGGGTTTAGGGTTTAGGCATTACGTTACCATAATGGATATACATATATATATCTGTGGTAATTAATGTGGTTTCCCCAATATAATGAGCTTAGCTAAGTTCGTTAACCGCAACCCAGTCAATCCACTGGGGAGTCTCAGCCCGGAAGGGTTCCTTAGTCAACTTTTGCAACCCTTCAAAAATCAGTATGTAAAGGGTCCTAATAAAACCAAGAAGGGAAAACATCAGAATATGGGTGGTTGTCAAAATTATGGTCCCTTTTTGGGTCCCTATTATAATACGGCACCTAGTATTTAGGGTACCCATGAAACTCTAAACCCTAAACACGAAATAGTAGCTTCCATTTTCTTTTTCCATTATCCCTATATAACCCCATATATATATATAGATAATGTTGGGACCCTAATTTTGGGAACTACCCATACGCATATTGCAAAACGCCGACCCAAGTCTATGGGTGTGGAGTCTGGATGTCAATTTGTAGGAGTTTGCACCTGTCAGTGGGCGGTTCTGCAGATATCTTTGCTGTTTACCTTAAGGGGTTTAGGGTGTAGGGTTCCATATTTGTGCTGTTTACCTTAGGGGCTAGACATCACCACATCTGCCAGCCTTTTTGAAACTGGAAAGCTTCGATGCCCTGCGCCCCCATGAAAATGAAACGACCACCCCCAATACCTCAGCCGCAACCCATGATCTAAACTCGCCCGGGCGACCCGACCCCAATACTACACAACATTAAGTCCGTGGTAGTGAGGAATACTTACAGGGAACCAAAGATTAACCCTCAGCACCTGAACATCCCCAGTGATCCCTACAGGCCGAGTCCACACAAGTGAACGTTCCTCTGCTCTAGTGTATGGTTTGAGTCTAGTAGAGTATCCTACTGTACAAGAGCCGCACCTCATGTACGGGAATCCTGATGAAGACAACACTAGAAGCTGCCTTTGAGGAATGAACCGCCCCGTTTTCAAATACTACTCAGGTGAGCCGCTGTTCAACATACCGCAGCCCCGAATCATACCCTTGCTTGGTTGGCCTTTGGAACCCTTTGAAAAATATTAGTATGTAGGGTCCTTATGAAACCAACTAGGGAAAATGTTCAAGAGGGAGATTGTCAAAATTATGGTCCCTTTTTGGGTCGCCTAAATTAGGCCCCGTATTAGGCCCCGTATTATAATAGGGACCCAAAAAGGGACCATAATTCTGACAGTCCCCCAAGTATCCCAAAGGCCAACCCAGCTTGTAATCGCCCAGCACATTTCCTCTGAGGCTGAATCAACCCTGAGCCCTAAAACCCTCATGTAGGGACATAAATGGGGGTTTCTCAAATTAGGGGTTCCCTTTTGGGGATCCCACTAGTAAGAATGATTGTATTTGGAGGTCTATTTTGGGTCCCGTTATTTAGGGAAACTACCAACTAGTTACAAGAACATGTGAGGTCTACTTGGGGGTATCCTATGCCATAACCACACAAGGAATCTCGGACCATGATGTAAATCATTTTTCAGGCCCCACTAATAATCAAATAGGACCCTAAAATTGTTGACTCTACGCGCAGCTTATTGGGCTAATTGCTGAGCCGCTGTTCACGGGAAGGATATAGGCCATGGCCAGGAAAGTGGTCAGGCCGGCACGGATCTCCTGACACAGAGTTGTAAGCGTGCGGGGGCTTCAGGGTTGAGGTGGAACTAGGTTCCCCAGTAATCCCTTAATAATAAGGCCTTTTCCTGATGTTCAGCTTTAATAAGGAGACCCCAAAATTAGGGGAAAATGGGTACTACTGGGGTATCTCGGGAATTAGGGCTCCAGCTTTTGGGCGTGTAGGACCGTGCAGGATGTAAGAGGGGCGGTTCAGGCTTTAGGTAAGTCCTTCTACAAGAGCCCAGCTCAACGAGCTTTGGAGATTTTGAGGTTATTTCTATAAACCCTGAACCCTCATTCCTAAACTGTAAACACAAACTCGAATCCCTACCCGCTTTACCCCTAATCCCCGCTCCGTGGTGTAGGTGGAACCCAACTTGCGGACGTTGAAGGGATCCGTCAAGTTGAGATGGCTGAAGTTGCCTTAGCTCGCTTTTTGGCATTCCAAGGGTATGTGGGACATTGTGGGTTTAGGGTTTAAAGTTCAGGGTTAGGGACATTGGTGCTTTAGAGTAAGGGCTTCTAGGGTATGTGGGGTATAGGGTTCAAGGCTCAGGGGCATTGTGGGATCCTTTTATGGGGTTCTAGGGTGTATAGGGTACGTAGGACATAGGATTCAAGGTTTAGGACTCTCAAAGAGGGGCCTAAGGAATAATTGCATTATACAGGGATTATGGGAATGCCTGTCGGGTTCCTCTGGGCAATTTTGAGAAGCACCGATTTACCCTAAACCCCAAAACCTTTCACCCGAAACCCTAAACCAGTTTAAGCTAGCTGCTCGCAGTTCGTCTACTTTGCCCGGAATGTCTGCAATCCTAAGCACCCAACACCAAAGGCATCAAATCCCACTGATTCCTGACAGGGCATGCGCTTACTTCTTTTTTTTATCCCAATATAACCCCTATATAACCCCTATATAACCCTATATAACCCCTAAATAACCCCTATATAACCCCTAAATACTATAGTAGTTTCCATTTTCTTTTTTGGCAACATTCTTCTGGTCTGGAGCTGTGGCTCTGAGCCTAACTTTGAGCCGAGACGAACTTGTTGCCCTAAAGGGTCCAAGTACCCAATGACTAGGTACTTGGGTTTTTGGGTAATAGTAATTATAGTATCTTGGGTTTTGGGTAATAGTAATTATAGTATCTTGGGTTTTGGGTAATAGTAATTATGTAATTATAGTATAGGTTTTTGGGCAAGAATATGATTATTAGGTACTTGGACCCTTAGGGTTGTATTTTTTGGGCGCACATCTACAGGCGTCATACCAGTGATACTCTTTGCAGTGCTCCAAACTGCTGGCCCAATTGACTCAGGCGAGTCCTAGTACGTATACATCACTTGACAACCAACGCCAAAGCCGCCTGACATCGCGATAGTTCAGACATGGAAATTTACGCTACTTCTCAACTCTATAGTGATTGGAGATCATAAGGAAATCTCATACTCAACCGCCCTCGGCTTCGTTCGTTTCCTGTGCATTGTTGCTGCTGTTGAAAACGGTGCACGATATGTCAGCATCCCTGCTTTTCGGCTTTTCTCGGGAAGAACTCTGCAATTCAAGGGGAAACCCTACAGTCCCCCTTAAGCAGATAGAATATGGCTTTGGGTATATTATAATAAGATCCCCATATACCCCATATTCTATCTACTTAAGGGGGACTATACACCCTCAAAGCTCCATAGTTCTAACTGGCTTAGCAAGATCACGGCGTTTTGCTTCGGGTCTGGACGAGAAGACGGACTAGCGCAAATTTGTGTGGACCCACAAAACACGGGTTTTTGGGACTGTTTGGGGATTTACTAAGGCTTGCTTAAGTGGGGGTGAGCCTTGGGGGGAAATCCGAACCCTCACGGCTTGCTAGCAGTGGGCTAATATTGTTGACCTCTTCCGGGAAAGATCGGGAAACCATCAGCATCAGGGTCCGACAAATTTCTATGCAACCATAGTCTGAGGAGGACAGTTTAATTCGTCCAAGGGCTTTCCTGGATTTAGTATCCTAACACACACCATAGGCATTGCAATTAATCTTTTCCCCCCAGTATTAAAGGGCTCCCCCCTAGGTATATACTGCGAACCACTTTTAATATTAGGGGGGTAGTATCGTATGACCCGAACATAAAGCGGAGGGGTATATAATAGGGTCCTATTAAACTCTTATTAAAATCGCTAGAGTTCGGTTAAATCGAATGGAAAACCGATTAAATCGAATCACCATGGTAAGAAAATCGTTAATCCAACTCAAACACCATTGAAATCTGATGAAAGTACAAACAAAACCTATTCAAGATCAACGCGCTAATTCAAATTTGATTATCGACTAAGATCAATTGAAATGTACAACTGAAAACCAGATAGGAGCTACGAACCCGAATGCAGACACGTGTCACGTACATGCAATGATAATAACACCCCACGGGCGAAACCACTTAGGAGACTTAGGTCTGGGATCAGCCCTTTCTCCTCTTTCTCCTCCTCTCTCCTTTCTACTCTCTCTTCTCTCTCCTCTCCTCTCTCCTCTCTCCTCTCTCTCTTCTCTTCTCCTCTCTCTCCTCTTCTCCTCTCTCTCCTCTCTCCTCTATCCTCTCACCTCTCACCTCTCTCC